AAATAGACAAACAAATGCCCACACACACATCTATATATAGAGAAATAGCTGCATGTATGTATATATGTTTATGTATGTATGTATATACATATATATGTGTGTGTGTGTGTTTGTGTGTGTGTGTGTGTAAGTAAATATTTATATATGTGTGTGCATGCCTGTGTCTGCGTCTGTGTCTGTATGTGTGTTTCTGTCTTTTTGTGTATATATATATGCATATATATATATGTATATATATTATATATTTATATATATATTGATATATATATAGTCTATAGTCTATATGTATATTTATAGACGTGTATGTGTGTGTGTATATGTATGTATATATATATATATATATATAATTCACATATGTATATATATATAGATGTGTGTGTGCGTGTGTGTAATGTGTGTATGTGTGTGTGTATATATGTATGATAGCCGACATATATATATATATATATATGTACGACATTCGACATGATACATTCTAACTTTTGGCTGTCGGTTGAATATTTAAATTGATGTACTGTAAATATTTTGAACATCGCAGGAAAATATCGCAAAGCCGCGAAAATATACTCCTTGGCATCCGCTTAAAATCTAGAAAGACCAACGCTACCTTCTTCATTGCCAATTACCATATGCCCTGTGTATACTGGTGCCCTCCTGTCATGAGCATTCACGCTGCATTGGCTGTGAAGAGAACTAAAGATTTGGCTGAAGGGGTATGTAATGTTTGCTACCGCAGTTGAGTCATGTTGCTGTGTGAAGCTCATGTTCGCGGTGCGGTGTAACAAGTGGCTGCCTATGTCTGGCGTTCGTACGACCTACTTATCGTATTTTTAGAAGCAATTTCAGCAGTTAGTGTGGTGGAACTTCGTATCGTATGCTACAACTGAATAAGCACTCGCTTACGATAGTTTGGCGTTCAGCGTTACCCTTACTTGTTTACTTGAGTTTCATCGTCTGCCTATACCTCGTGTGCATTTTGTCTGTTTGCATATTGCCTCATGCTGAGACCTTCTTAATTCATACAGGTACCCCATATTCTTTGCGGAGATTTCAATTTCCAACCCACATCCTCCATGTATAAATTCGTAACCACTGGCACACTCGGATCAGACAAGGAAGCCACGCCCGTAGCCAACCCGTGGGGCAAATACTTCCCGAAGGTGGAGGTACCCATGCGAAGCTCATATGCTGCAGTTAACGGTTGTGAGCCGAATTTCACAAACTACGCGAAAGTAAAGCAAGAACCTACGTTTATAGAAACGCTGGACTACATCTTCTATTCCAAAGGGATCGAAGCAGAAAGCGTTGTGAAATTACCGCATCGAGATGCAGTAGAGGGGCCTCTGCCTAACGGAGAGGAGCCTTCAGATCATATATTAATCGGTGCCAAGCTGAATATAGCTGCCTGATTGGATGCAAAATCAAAATTTAGTTGACGGAGATGAACCTTCAAATCTTACTATAATCAGTGTAAAGCTGAATATAACTTCCCAGTCAAATGCGCGAAATTAAAATTTAGATTCGGATCCGCCGCCGGTAATGGATCTGTTGTTGAAACTAAATTACCGTACAACGTTCGTCCACCTCAAAGTATTATATAAATAAATTCTAAGATCTCAAGGGCGGTGCCTTTTCTGTATTTATATTGTTTAGCTCATTACCTCTTTCAAATGACTTCATATCGAATATGCCCGCCATCGCTACAGGCATCGCAACCTCTCACTCATTCACTCCACCGTGTTGTTCTGTTGTTATACCATCAATTAAGACGTTCGCTCTCGAGCTAGGTAACAAATATCGAGTCGTTTGCACAAAAAAAAATTCACTTTGATGATTAAGCTGTATGTTTTCTCTCAAACAGAAGGCTGATCGTATACCAACAAGACAGCAACAAACGCTCACCACTTAAGACTATGAATGTTCATCAAACGAGCATGCAAGCATTTTCATTAGGCTGGTATCCCTCTCTCTCGCAGAGTACGGCTTTCAATCATTTTGAAGCTCAATAGGGGTTGTCCGAATGGTTGAATTAGGGTGAAAATGAATCTGAGTTGGACAAGGTATGTGAAAGTCACAGTTTCGGCAGACTATTTGCCAAGTAGCAAGTGTAGTCACTGCAGCAATGATAGTATTGGTAACAAGATGTAGTGCGACAAGATGAAGTTGCATACCAAAGCAAGCTAGAACTGAAGACAGCAATCGCTCACCAAGTATAAATGGAATCACAGACAGTTAGTGAACCGGAAAGTACACCAGTTATAGGTTGCTGGGCTTACCACCAGCTAGAAGATGTCTCGGTAGGTGCATTTATTTGTATAAAGAATGTTGGTGATTAGCTATCTGTTTCTAATATACATACACTGTGTGAAGAAGATAATGGGCCGAATTGGATGACTACAAATTGATATGTGGCTGTGCCTTGTGTATAGAAATAGATCTCGCCCACAAAAATTGCACAAAGCATGTGGCTACTATAGAATGTTCACGCATACTAAAGTCATTTAAAGATAGTCTCGTGGCGTCTACTCTGATACAAATATTCAAATGTCGGTCAAGGTGCAAATTCGACCAATTCGTATTCATTGACACAGAGGTTCATGAAACTTTATCTCCAATTTAAGCAGAGTCGATGGTTGATTTCGACTAGTATGCAATTATATGTGAATGGCATGACATCGACGTTGTGTAAACCACATTTGCAAATTGTAAGGCTTTTTGCGAACGCGAGTACCTTAATTTTAGAAGCACCCTATATATATGTATTTTTACAAGCACATTCATTGTAAAACAAATGTACATATCATGGCTTCAGCCAGAGGTGATTTAGGGCGTTTCTTGCGCTAAACTCCGCTCCCAGTTCATTATACGTGTACATACCGTATGACATATTTGTACGTGCATCGTGTATGATATCATATATATCTATACTCGTGAGAAAGCTACCCGCAACTGTCGAGGCATTACAAAATGAAATAGTCATTGCTTCGCCTGCTACATGTTTGCGCCTGACTTATTGATATCACTATGCGACATGTTTGTGGCCAACAACTATTACACGCATATGGTTGCGTTCCGATCTACATCCCCTGCAAATCGTCAATCAATTACCTTTAATCACATCCTGTACACTCGTACTCACGCACAAACCGTACATGCCCAGAATCACACACCTTGTACACTCTAATTCAGGTTGTGGTTTACGCACACCTTAAAGACTACACAACCTTTTGAACTACACCCACTTTTATTGTTTGGGGGGGATCCTTGTCCACTGTTTCACGACCGCTTGTTGGCTCTTGGCTTTCTGGAGCAATAGGTAGGCCGTGCCTAGTCCCTCGGATTTTAATTGTGACCTAGTCAATTGGCTTTCCGTCTGTTCTGTATTAGTATCAACTATGATATAATTTACTTTCCGTGAACAAAAATGGCCTGTGGTATTGATTTTAGACGTCGATCTGCCCCCACAGTATTGACAGCTATGAGACTCGGTTGTGCTGCTGTGGCGAGCCAACTTTCGAGGCGTAAAGAAGCGAATTTCAGTTAATTTGTCATAGTTGCAGCAGATCACTTCACATGACCTGTGATAATGATAGTACACGCCGATCTGCCCAGAGCATTTGATAGCTATAGGATAATATAGTACTGTTGTCTGCCGTGCCGGCTTTCGAGGTGAAAAAAAAAGGCAAGAATGCCTCACTCAAACATGCTCGAACGGAATTATATCACGTCACATATAAAATCGAGTATATCCTATGGCTGATCTCACTCTTTGGCAACTCCGAAGAAATATACGCGAGAAATGTTCTGGACGCTAGAGAAGATGAAACTACGGGGGAGTTTTCGCAACTTACTTGTATATTTTTGGAAGATCAGGAATCAAAGATGTAAAAATTAGCAAAACCAACTTTTGTATATCTACGGGAAACAAATAGATACAATTAGCAATCTATACTACAGGATAATAATTACTTTGAGTAAGGTTCGCCCGATATTTCTCGCCCAGCCTTCCATTTTGCCCTTTTATCATGTAAAGTATTGTGTGCAGCCTCAAATCAACCCGAAATTAAATAATACCTTTGGGCATATTTTTTGTATACCTACGCAGCCGTACGCCATTTTTCCAAGTACGAGAATATACCGTCATTCGGATCTACGAAATAACGAACCCATAAACAATCAATAGTTGTGGAGTGGGAAAAAAAAATTACAATTTCCCTTGCAATTTTCCTTCATGTTCATTGTGAAACTCAAATTTACAATTTTGATGTCGATTTCAATTTAAAATATTATCCTCTCCGCAGTTTTTCTTGCTGCTTTGCTTGGTAAACGATGATTGCATACGATACATTGACTAGTGAATTAGTAAACTGAAAGATAGATTGTATCTGAAGAGCAGAATCCTCTACAACCCTACCCCCTCCCCCCCCTCCCACCTCTCCCCGGATGGAAATTATATTCTCTCCGAACGACGAAAAGTCTTTATAGAGTTGATATTATTGCAAGTACGAGGTTTAAACATATAAATGCAATCATAGTTCAGGAAATATGATGTTTTCCTTATTACTTGCCATAGCTGAGCCTGTGAAATATGAAAGTTATAAACCCCATGGGGCCGAAATAAATATATATTGCTAAGCTAGAAGCTCTAACTGTACATTAATGAAGGACAGATACGAAAAAGAAGCAACGCGGAATGACTTATACAGCCTACTGGCTCACTTTGCAAACTCGGGAATCGGTTTCAGTGCACCACCTTGACTTCCGCGAAAAGTTTATGCGAAAGTATGCGGCTTTGTCTTTTAATATTGTACAGCTTTGTCTCTATAGTTTCTGAATACCGCTACTACTAATGAGAGAAAATAATAAAATTATTGATGGTGACCGATACATAATAAAATTATTGATGGTGACCGATACATCTAGTCCTTACGACCGGATCGAATACCCGCGATTGGACAAATTGCAACAAAAACTGACCACAGATTCGGATCCATGTATATCAAAAACTTAATTTAGGCAGAAACGTACGGCTTTGCCTTGTTATGTAAAGCAGCTTTGCCTCTATTGTTTCCGAATACCGATACTACTAATGATGGAAAAGCGTATGAATAATCATGTTGAACGGTGCATCATAATTAATTATCAGCGAACGTATAAATTGCATCTAAAACAGACAACAGATTCAGTATGTTGTTTAGAAGTATAGATACTAAATTACTTGCCATGGCTGAGCCTGTGAAAGAAGAAAATTACAAGCAGGAAATGCCAATACCCCCCGTGGACACGAGTAAGAAATGTGTAAATAAGCACTTAAGGGACTGATACGATCTATAGGCAACGCGAAAAAAGTTTTTACTATCTAACGGCGCATTGTGCGAGCTCAGAAATTGATTTCAGTGCACTACATCGTATCCACAATCGAGCGCAGAATAGTACACTTATTATTTACTTTGCTTTCTCAAATGTACAATATATGAGTAGCCAAATACACTTCTTCGCGGAAATGATAGGTTTGATAAGTATTTCGACCCTTTCTTCCATCAACTGCTACAAATTAGCAATAGCTAATTGCAGATACCATTCGGTCGAGAAGCATATGTGCGGTTGCAGATGTCGGCTTTGCCCAAATCTTTCCGAGTACTGTCATGCGAGTCATGTTTTAGATACGACTGAAAGCCCCTCGAAAGCCCCAAATGCTGTATAGAAACAAGAAGTACCGAAAGAGATGAACCCTAGTTTGATACACCTATCTCGCCCTCGCAAACAGTTCCCTTCGTCATGTGTAAAGCTTTGACTGCTACCTGGAATAAAGATTAGGGTCAATGAAAGCAAGCCCTTGTTTCACCAAACAAAATGTAGTAATTCACGAAGTCTATGGGGCAAAAATCTAGTATCTTCGAAGTAACAATACAAACTGCAACTTTTTCGTTCGCAGACTCTAAGCCATGTAAATGTTATTTGTTGCAGGTTTCGATTTCATCAATGAGTTGTGGTCTGTCTTAGCAACAGGTAGGTACAAATAATTTAAACGTTATAGTTGTTTATTGAGCATGTAAGTGGCGAGCTTTAGTTTAGAGGTTGACCTCAGACGAAACAATTATGAGAGGCTCATACGTAATGTTGTACAAACCTAATCGCATTTTAATTTATCGCCACAACCTGATATACTGAAAGTCCATGAACGGATTTGTAATATCATCCAAAAAAAAAACTTTAGTTGAAACTATATAGAACGTTGACAGTAAGCTCATTGCAAGCCCAATGCGGAAGTAGACATAAAATAATCAACATAAATGTAGTTTAACCCAAAAGCTAGTTGTTGAAAATAGATATACATATACAACGTATATAAATGTAATCTGGACCGAAGATCGATGTTTTTAATTGAACTGAATACATATTTACCGGTACATTTGTGTGTACAGTACTTGGAAGTCCAATTTCGCAGATTAGAACATTAAAGATAAATGAATATGTAAACTTTAACCCAAAAGAAGTTGAAAATAGAGATATGTATAAATGTTTATATTATTTTTAGCAATTATCCCTCTAGTTAAGAAGCCTGCTGTACATATTTAACTAATATGTACCATATATAACGTTTTATATGTGGTTTACTGAAAGCTTAGAATGTGAAAATAGAAATATATTAATGTATTTGAAGTCTTACCAATTCCAATGATGTTAAAAATAAACTTGGTGTGCAGAACGTGTATGGTAATGTCTACTGTAATAACACCTACAACAAGGCACAAGCCAATGCGATAAACATCAACAAGATGTAAATGCAATCCAACTCAAAAGCCCTGGGTTAGAAATGAATGTACAAATGAAACGTTTACAATTTTTTACCGACGGATATGTAATTTTAATCGAGAGTTCAACTACTAAAAAAGATGTATAAAGAAAAAGTTTACCCGGTATGTACCGAAAGCTGCATGTCGGCAATACACCAAAACGACGTACATTACTTTGATCCAAAAGCCTGAATTGAGAATAATCATGCGCACTTCTTATCAAAAACCCCATTCAAAAATAAACGTGGACAAAATTGCAAGAAATCCAACCTTGAAGCCTGATGTTGAAAATAAACGTACATATAGAACGTTGGCTTGGCATGTACCGGAGTCCGACATCGAAAATAAGCGTTGCGAACAAGTGCTATAGTAGCAGTAGTATAGTGATGCACCAGGACCTAAGACCGACTCTGCCCTGCACTGGCCGGACTATAAAGGGTTGATATCATAGTTCACGACAGACAGTACACATGGTACTAAACCGTAGACTCTGGGACAATTAGGCCTACCAAGACAGCCGACCGGACCCAAGGACCAGCCCTAGTACACTAGTCAGTAGATGTAACAGAAGATAGCCTATAGTAAACAGTGTACACTGTCTACTACAGAAGGACAAAGCAATTTATTCTTGTATGTATTTTACTTCAAGTTAGTATACAATGGGTAGACATTGGACTTTTATCAACGTATATATAAATATGGTCTATTTTAAACGTCAAGCCTTTGAGATGATATCTCGCAAGTACGTAAATTTTCTCGCCCATTTTCGACTTTGGGCAGTCGTACACGTATTGTAGACACAATATGCACGTCGATTTGCCTGATTAGAATTTTGGATAGTTTGATATATGTATGGCTTTCTACTTTTGGGCGTTGCGGTAAATCTTCCTTAAAACTATTTTGTCAATGTATTTTATTGAAACGAGGCTGTACGTCCGACTCTTGAACTTTATACGAATTGTGATGGTTCACAACAGTGTGTTGGCGGTGCCAGGGGTCCACGTTTCACCTTAACTGAGTAAGATCGAATTGATGTATTTATATGCACATCTTGTGTACACGGCCTAATATGAATAATCCGCCTTAGTCTGTCGGCCTGTGAATTGGTGATAGTCCTACGAGAGGGTTGGCTGAATGTGCATGTGTGTGTAGAATGAAACACAATCGAAAGCTGAGGAGCGCTTTGTGCAATGGGAAGTCATCCTCAGTAATACCTTGGCGAAGTACATCAATCTCGGACCAGCCCATAGTCCAGCTGATGTAGTGTCAAGGGCCTAAATCTACTACTATTATGGAGTTTTCAACTACCAGGTATATAAGACTTGACTGTAATTACACACTTGTCTCATTCAAGGCTGCTGCAAGCGGATGTATCGTTGATCCAATTGCATTACCCATCTAATCACTCACAGAAGTACTTCCGCACGCCAAATCTACACCGTAAATACAACGCATGCATCCCGATTGAAGAATTTCGGAACTCTCCCAGCTTCCTGGTTTCTTCAAATTTTATTTAATTCATTACGCTTTACTATCCTCGTGGAGAGGCAGAGGTATAGAGCCCACGGCTCTTGTGCCATCGGTGGAATCCATAGCGATAAAGTCCTTAGGTTGTAACTCACTCTGTAGCGTGAACACGTGAATGCACGCAACAGTGTGGAAAAATGTGAGTAAACATCGCAAAATACAACAAAACTTTACAACCAAAAATATATATTAAAAAATCGTCACAGTTGCAGCGTACACTGGCGAGAGCATGACATGCCTCCTTGACTGCGTATAATTCGCGCAAAAAGTATCGAACCTGTTACAAATGCACGCACGCACTCGAATGCAAACTCACACTCATCTTGTGTTCGCTACGTTTAATACCTTATAATTACTTAAGTCCACATTGTTGATGTGTGGGACTGTGACGCTCTCTCTCAAAACCGGATAGGGTTCGTCAAGTTCATGACGATATGCGCACCGGTTGATCCACGCCACCTCCCGGGTGACATCGATAATCGTGGGATAATACATTTGTTGATAGTACTGTAGGGGTGAATTTAAATTGATTCAGTGATGCGCGCGTGGTGATACTGATGCAACCAGTTGCCATTCAGGCTCGAATAACACGCTCAATTCCACGGTACTAACATGACCAATTATGCCACGCCACGTGTGATTATTGAACAAAAACGTGCAATGCGACAGTGTACGCACTATCTGGAATGAGGGAGTTGTTATAACAATGTAATCTCCGGAGACAAGCATAGCAATTGCAGGCTAATTCAAGAGCATAGCAATTGCAGGCTAATTCAAAATCGACAAAATCATAACATCACCGGAACAAGCTGACGGAGTCTCACAATATGCCACATTGCACGAGTAATCAAATGCGGTAAAACTAGAGATCACGTAGTACAAGAACATACCCGGTAAAGCAGCAGCGGAAGCATGCATACAGCGCAGACTAACAGGATGTAGAACCAGAAACCTGGCGTCAACGGAATGTAATAGATCGTGCCTAATAGGACGAACATGACCGATGGTAAAAAAAGAGATTAATTGAGATGATGCAATTGGTTGTGCACCCATCTCACCCATCTTACACTTACTTATCCTACAAAACCGTGTTTAGGTATAATGTGGCGATACCCTTCCTGTTCTTGGTGTATTTTACCAATCCTGCGATATATGGCTACTGGCCCACGAGTCAGCCGTCTATCACGTCCATAGGAAGCACTGAACTGCGGGTCAGCTTTCACCCAATAAACATGATATACGAACAAACCAACAGTCACGAGCAAGGAAAATGTATTCTAAATTACCTCCAGCGGGATGACATGTGCTCAAACAAATCTCCAAAAAGGAATCTCACAGAACGTATAGCAACAGAGCGCACACAAATATGCTCTTCGATCAAACTTGTCGGCTCATAGTGATCGCGGCATGTTATAAGTAAATATGTATATTAGAAAAGAGACGAGTGCCCCGAGCAAGCAAATTATTTCTTTACTAAAGAAGTTGTCAAATTCAATACCAATGAAGTTCATGCCCATGGGCTAATTCATATCCGCGTTTGAGTATTATGAGCCAAGCTGTGCACTTACCAAAATACGAAGCATAACCATCGATGAAGATAGGCATCCCGTACATATATATCGCGAATACCCACCAGGCTATCAGCGACCCATAGATGAACATGTGATTCCATACCGTCCATCTATAGGTATCGAGCGCCATTACCAGGGTGACAACAAGCTATGGGGTAAAAATTCACAAATGAGTGAGTAGATTTAGGTCTTCTACGTCTCGCAGCCTTTGTCGTGATGTAGGCGTATTCATCTCCTCAATGCTTTGGCAGCACTTATCTATGAGCGGAGTACATATCACGAGCGTAATCAAGCTACACAAATAAACATCTGTTCTAAAATTTAAAATCATACCGGATTCAGATCAATAACAGTACTTTATGAGGCATTTGATAATAAATGGGAAGACAAGCATATTGTGTAGGGGTGGAAACATATTCATTTGATCATGTAACACGTGTTCATTTCAACTCGTGAACACATGTACGTACGTCGACCGCTAAACTTCGCAGCACTCGGCGTCTATGACGAGACCTGCCAATGCAAAATAACTCGCGGGAGAGTCAACATGACATTGCAACCGCAACAAGTCTTATGCGCGCTACATTGCCACATCACACAGATTGTAGGACCCCGAAATAAGCGAGCGGGTGCTTTCAAGCTAAAGTATCACTACATCGAAGTATACCGAATCAGAGGGCCGTTGGACAGAGACATGCAAATACGCGTTCTTATTCTGAATTTGCGTATGCTAACTAGTCCGAGGCTGGTCGAGTTGACCAACGAGTATACTCAGCGCGAACGTGTTTGGCAAATTGCAGTACAGGAACAACGCTTATAATTACAGACATATATACCCGATAGCAGACATAAAACACACCAGATGATAGCAGACCATAAGTCTGGGCATGATAGCGGGATCAGAAGTCCACATACACGCACTCACATACAATAACGGCCCAACTTTGTGCTACGCCATTCCATTCCATTCCAGTCATCCAACCGTCCTTGACATGCATCGCATCCTTCAACCCAAATGCGGCGAAGAAGAATATGATAGCTGAATGCCACACGCCTTGCAGTAGAGACTTAAAGAAGATCTGGATAGACATTTGAGAGGGCGAAATAAGAAAGCTACTCGCATACAATAAGCAGCAGCGACCTCAATATGGCAGAGAAACTTTGAGCATGACAGGGCACCAGGCATTGACAAGGGGTTCTGTTATGTAAACTAATATGGGAAGCAAGGCAAAGGATCGTAATGCCGCATACCCAGCGATTGAACAGCTTCTCTTGAGACCCCATCGCGTACAACTGTGCGTATTCTACGCAATACCTCGTGCCTACGTCTTGCTCGAAGATTCCCATGGCCAACACTGGGAGCGATGTGAATACTAAATTGAAGAAAGAGATAAACCTGTGTAGAGGCAAAGCAGTGATAGGCAACGTTAATATATCGTAAGTCCGCGTTGTACAAAGGACACACTGTCTATCCCAACGCAATCTGCCTTAATGAGAATACTGGTTATACCACAATCATATGTGCAGCTGGGCGCGTCTATCCAGACGCGGTCAGGCGCGTGCCGTGTAGCTGAATTAACACTTGCTGCAGATACAAAGCATCTTCACAAAGCCGTGCCGTTTTGCAGTGCAATACTGAACACCGCACGTGCATCCGAGTCACCCAGCTTCGTTTTCTGTGGGCACTAACAACGGTATAAATATCATTCAAGTAGTTCTGCTGGTACGTATACAGCGAAATTGGCTCACTCAACAACCGGCGACATCTCATACCAAGATTCGAATAGAGTCTGTGCTGACCATCCAGTGAAGAAACTATACCACAGCTGCACTAGCGTTAGTGCAAAATTCTTGTAGAAGAAATAATTTAAGAATTTCGTCATTCTGATATACGACCTGAGATAATGAGAACGAATGTGAGATGCGCGAGAAATTAATAGTAATAGACAAGAAAATTCGATAAAAAGATACAAATAGATGCGTCAGAGGGGAGACAAGCCTAGCTCGAAACAGAAATTCAAACGTTATAGGACGCCGTACATACCACCGACCATGCACCAGTAGGAGGCGTTCAAGGAATCGGAATTGCGCAATACTGTAGTCACTCGCCAAGACGGCTTGCCTACCCTCCAAACCACTGATACCCACGCCAATATGCGCTGCCTGTATCATACTATCAGGTCGAATCAAGAAATGTTTACTGTTAGTGTGTTTGAGTGACATTTTTAATCGACAGAGCCGATTATGGAGAGGTCTGACTCAGTTTCGGAGTTCGCATCGCAGCAGCAAGAACAGTCCGTTTCTGACTCTCTGATTGTCTAGTCTCTGTTGAAAAGCTATCGAAAGCGAGCGAAGTGCACAACAGAACACAAAAGTACATACACGCACACTTAGCAAGCGGTTACCTGGGCTATTCTTTACAATAAGCAATGTCTATCAATGTTGCGAATGTATCCTGTTTTGGTATATACAAAGATGCCACGCCTACACACATATTAACACAATTGACGGGTTGATGGTTATTTCTGCATAGTCTGAAGAAGCTCTCGTTCCATCCACAGACACACACACCACAGATCATACTAAAGTGATCAGACTGCTGGGCGTAGTGTGCCATATACCTGACATCGTTGGCTCCATCTCCTATCGCGAGTGTGGCGGCATCGGTGTTTGACTTTACTAATCTGTTGCAGGAGGTGACTGAGATTAGTGACGCTGACACAAGTGTACTACTGATTAGTAAGCGCAAGCGAATTGTCGTATGCCGCGGATACTACACGCTGCACTGTCGTATGAAGGGGTGATTGCTTCGAATGGTGTTGTATAGAGTGGATAGTAGACTTGTCCATGAGTCTTTAATAAGGTATTGTACTTGATGGCATATGATTTCATCTTACCCTAACAGATCTGCTGCATATGTTTGTTTTTTTATGAATGAAATGTCAATACAGCGACCCGACAATTTTGTACACATAATTAGACATGACACAGACTCTATAGTGCCCTCACACGGCAGCAGAAATACATACATCCCTAAACCCGCCACTTTCATCGCAGTCACATCGCTGTGCAATTTGTATCAACAATTGCGCCAGTCAGATCACGCAGATCAAGCGGCAATTTCAGCTACATGCCCAAAGAGGCATGCCTTTTAAAACTCGAGAGGTGTAAGCCATACTCAGCCTTCACCACAAGCAATGAAGCTTCGCACCAAAACACAGCACGCTTTCAGTAGCACAAACATGCAGGTGCCCACTACAGATACCGAATGCTCTCACTAACACACACCTCACAACATCCGCTTTCTGCAGGGGACTGACACGGCAGCAGATGACAGACTGACACGCTTTGCCCACTGTCAGGAAGTCAAATCCACAGCGGTCAGACAAAGCAAACGCAAGCGACGCGCCATCGATCACCAGCGCCTTGGGACTATCATCCGCCACCACCTATGGATGTGTACGAGTGAGTGGGAGTGTACAGATGCAGTGGTTGACTGGAATAACATGTATGGGGTTTTAACTAGAAACGATGCGCCAGATATGAAGCGTTACGGTGAACTGCGTATACTGGGGTGTGCATGTATATATATCACTCGCCTAGTATATATTGAGTATGGTGTTGTAAAAAGGTACATCGATTTACCAGTGCGGCTTATGAATATTAATATTTGCAGATGCACGAATTTACAAGATCAGATTGCATATGTTGGTATATAAATATGTGACAGATACAAACAATAGGGCCGGTTGTGCGTGTTTCCTCAGCACAACACACTCAGATGGAAGGTAAAAGTCAGTCGTTGCAGATGCTTCAGATCTACGGAGTTTATTGTAAGCTCTGATGATGATTTATCAGCGACTGCCGCCAATGACCTACAACGGTTCTGCACAGTAGCGTCGCATCAGATCTTGTCGCCGTCCAAGACAGTAGGATGTCAACACAAAATGCAGACAGAACACACTCCCAACGCTAAAAGTGGGAACTATTTTTCGGGTAAGCTTCCACGGCGATTATATCTATCATACACTTCCATCAGTCAAACGTGCACAGCTCCCAACAAAGACACACTTCAACTTTCCGCAAGTCGCGGGTATTTTCTTATACCGAGCAGTCGAATACACATGCACCAATATACCTGGTTGAGGAGTACACAAATAAACCCGTTGAAAAGTTACGTCATTCTACCACCTCCGTACACACGCTTCGGCTTACCTTGCTTTTGAGTATTTGCAGTCGTTCGTACACGTCATCTTCCGTTTTTTCGTTCACGGTGAAGATCTGCATCTGGTTCGTTAATAATTGGCAGGCGAATCCAATATTTATCGCAGTCTGTTGCTTATCCCCAGTAAGCACCCATACCCTTCACAGGCAGAAGGTATAGGAAACGATCGACAACATTAATTGTCAGTACAAAGTCAGGTCACCGAGCAGTGAAGAGCTACACCAGAAGTGTCCGACAAGCGCAATGCGAGACTATGAAGGTAGAATTGACCAATAAAAAGGTTCTCGTGAACACTTGTGTATTTTAGACGCTGCTACACAAGCGTGACAGAACATGAGTCAGAAATAAAGATGGTACCGAGAGTGTCTCCGTTTCATGTAAAACGTTTGTGAAGTTGGTAGGGTGCAATGGACACACATTAATTTTTTCCATAACCTGTACTGTCACCACAAGCTTAAGAGCTCAAGATTCGCACAACGTAGGCTGGTACTACCATATGTTTGACAAAAATATGAATGACAGCATCCCTTCCGCTAACACCGTCACAGATATAAAATGACTCGACATACCGTATACTAGCTTTACGCAGGTTCGCTATGGTTTCTGGAACTCCTTCCTGTAACTTATCTTCGATGGCTGTAGCGCCCACCAACCTCAGCTTCGTTTCCAAGTCTTCGGCCACTAGTGCCACTACAGATCGCCGAGTTGATGATATATTGTCCGATTAGAAACAAGCTAATAGGGGAGAGTTAACTCATGACCGATGACTGAATAAGGTCAAAATATGACCCAATGCACGCTCCAATAAAATAAAAGATCGAATGTCAGTGCTTGGAAAGTGATTTATAATGACTATTATCTGAACTGGTCGGGTGCAGATCGTATCTGTACCTTTCTCTTCTCTGTTATCGATAGCTCGTGACGCCTGTTTGTATCGCTCGTTCCATTCGTTAAACCTACGTGCAATATCCAAGAGTGCCATTAGCAGTTTACCGTACGAGGTGATGCTGAAATGTACGCACAAAAGACGCAACCTCCACATTGGACGTCGGAGATCGGATGAAAGTCTCATAAAGAGCCAACGACGGCTGGGTAGAGGTGGAGGGCGCTCTAGTCGAGAAGCTGAAAATCTGCAAGCTAAAACCACACTATAATATACGTCAATAGCAAGCAGGCGCATGGACTTCAAGCATTCCTTGTATCCTCCTCCATCTCCTAAACCCTAAAACCCAAAGCCCCAAAACCGTAAAACATATGGAAGTACAAAATATAGGGTCCACAAGCATTTGCATATGGTGTGCAGCAAACGAGTACCAATTTCAATATTCATGTTATGAGCATTTCCTGGTCATCAGTGACACGGTCTCCAAACGAGACGATACAGCACGCATGCAGATCACGAGCATGGACTGATCAACCGCTACTCACCACTCTGGATCGAGTTGTCGATCCGCATACACCAGTGTACGCAAACCATCAGTGGCATATTCCTCCAGGTGGTCTTCCGTTTGATCCAACAGTTCTTGTTTCTGTACAAGGGGGTGCAAAGGATCGTTGCGCGTGAGAAAAGGGAGAATCATAGATTGTGGAAACGGTCGATCTGGATTGTAAAGCCTCCAACATCTGGCCATTTGGTATACATACATCTTTGAATGAATGTATGGTGTTTGATCTTGCTCCACAGTCTCTACTGAAAGTATACAATACTACCTCTTGACTGGATTGTGATTGTGCCTTTCGCGCATAGTTTAATCAATAAGCAATTCGATCATCCTATACAGGCGAGATAAAACAAGTACACTGGCAACCCTGCACGCGTATGCTGTCCACCATTGCAAACAGCAGCAGATCAGTCCTCTCTGCCCCTTTTGAGGGAAAAAAAATCAGTGTGACCTGATCGTATCCGTGCATCTCAGCAACAATCAGACACCCACCTAGACCAGAATCGATATGACTCCACCATACAGTCTATGTAATCAAACCGGCATAACACACCAGAAACTAAGACACACACTTACGCAGTCTATCCTGGCAAACATGATAGAATCAGCACCCTTGCTCAGGGCACGGATGGAGCCATCGGACCACTCCACCACAATAGTCATGCGCTTGCGATCACTGGTAAAATCTAGTAGTGCTAGAAGTTTATATCTCTCGAATTTGCCGTTGACTTGGATTACCAGTTCGTCCTGGAGAAAATCGATGGGTATAACTAAATTAGGATGCAACTTGGTGCTTACTTAGCTGAACAAAACCACCTGAAGTCGAATAGCGCTCTGTTAGTCTGCGCTAAAGGGGAGTGTGTCGTACAGATCTGGATGGCCAGTGCATGCGAGTAAGTGCCGCGTACTTTCAGTTAGACTCCTTTATACTACCATCAACCAGTGCCAACATTCGGAAACGTTAGACTCTTATAGCTACAATCAACTAGTGCCAGCATTCGGAAAGCATACCTTAGCTGAAAATTGCGATGTCAGTCCATTGCTTTCTATATGAACACAGACACTGTACATACCCAACTGCTAGCTACGATAAAGCGATAGCAGAGAGAACTGGTTGCTGCTACATGTTAGCACGAACCAAAATACTTTGTAGATATACTCACACAATCGCCGATAGAAATAATCCCAAGCGCAGAGCAGCACAGAAGTTACATCCCAAAATACCCAATTCATTGTAGATGAGACCTAAATATATACTTAACACACACCACATCTCCCGACATACCCTCGTGCGTTTCCTGAACACATAGCCAAAGTTCATTGCCGCCTGTACCAACGCCGACTCGTCGGGCGATTGTGCATTGTAGGCGGGTAGCTGGCCCCGCACATACGCCTCCGCTTGCACACTGTGACACAACGCCAAGCACCGGAAGAAGTAGCACTCGTCATGGCCTTTAGACCGCAAGACATCGACTAGTTCCTGATCGTAGAAGTTGAATTTGGGGTCTTTGTAGGGATTCCAGCTGAAATCAACCTCCTCCAACGGTTCGATGTCCGCGGGATTGCGACCACTGCGAGATGTGGTGCCAGCACAGCACGCATTGGGGAACGATATGACATGTGAGGGTTTGGACGACCGATCATGTGCTCGCAAAGGTGTGTTTTGAGTAACAAAGTCCCGTATTACGTGCATATACAGGGCTAGCAGACGTAGCAATCGTTCGTGTATCATGATACAATCCACAGTCTGTAGGGATATTTATGCTGCAACTTCTTGCGTGTGCCGAACTGAAGTATACGCTGCAATTAATTCTGAGTGGTTGGAATGTGCGCAAACAGCTTGCATGCATGATATTATGTATGTCACAAGCGTACGAGCGCATTTGCCATGATCACTTGCATTCGGGCGGTGTTGAGACGTTTCAATGGCCTTAAGCTGCTAAAGAGCACGAGAACGAGGATACCCGGAAATACACACTACGGTGCATGCACCCTACGAGCTCTTGTCACAGGATTCCCAAGTCATAGAGACTCCATGATCACACACTTGCCGTTTATCTGCAGACAATTGCTACCTTGCGATGTACCTGATAGCATTCATACACACTTGAGGTGACATCAAGTACCGTATAATACGTGCACACGGGATGAAAAGAACTACATACTCTCGCGCCGCACTCCCTCTGTTGGCATCCGTCAAGCCTTTGCCGTACTTCTTCCCGTTGATGGAGCACTTCATAAATCCCATGATGTTTTGAGTCAGAGTCCCAGTTTTGTCGGAAAATACATACGCAATTTGACCCAACTCTGTGTATGCATGCATGCATGTGTGCAAGAGCTGAATTACTATCGATCGCACATGCTCACGTCCACTATTTGACACTCCGGTGCGCGCTAACCCAGCTGCAAACATTCAGGAGGATATTTGAACGGTATCTGTATACACCAACAACCCTTGGACGTTTCGATAAGTACACTGTAACATTGATGTAAAGAGAGGTTAGGCCGGCCGAAGCCGATAATCCCATTTTACATATGCACGCCTACATGCACCAATTGACACTAGCAGTCACTGTACCTTCAGTAAGGGTAGTCGTGCGTGCGTGTGCCGGCGTGTCGGAGGGTGCGTGATACATTTTGAGATCCCAATCAATGAGCCAACTCTGCCCCAATCTGTGCCAGAAGAAGATTGCATTGGCAGTGTATATTAGTTGACCAGATCAGATATGGGCATTGCAGATGCGATCATAAAACACACCTCTGGTAGATTCCGTGACAAATAAATACCCGACTGTTCAGCACAGTCGAAACAAAAAGAAATAATGTTTGATACAGCAGACGCGGCATAGGCACAGCCAGCCACGTGCAAACAGCAGATAGCAAAGATGTGTTGACAGCCATCAGCTGCCAACAAAATGCCTAGCAAGAGTTGAAGGGCTGCCAATACGCACCCAATGGGAAACAACCAAGGCACACAGGGATGAGACAACGCAGCGTCAAATCGGCGCACACCGCCAATTCTCTGTACCTGATGATCTCCACACTCACATAAAGCGAGATTGGCACGAGGGTGTTGTAGAGGATAATGTAACTCAGGAAACTCATGCCCGCGACGGCGAATGGATTTGACGGATCTCCTGCAGGTAAGTATATCTGTGGAGGAGGGTGAACAGTCAGAAGACTTGTACGGTAGTTGTGCGCAGTATCATGCGGACATGGGCGGTAAGCCACAGACATCGGTACGCTGATAGTTAGGGACGCCACTACGACAAAGATACAGTCTGCGCTTAAACAACCCGGGTACCACAACAAGGCACGAGTGCACTGGCAGCTTCAATAGAAGCCTATGAAGCGCTCACTTGTCTACAAACAAAACATGACGCACTAATTCTCATGAGCCGTAGACAGAAGCTACGGCAGATTAAAGCGCGAATCTCGATTGACGAAGTTCAAACAATGCATTAGACAGAACAATAACGGAGCAATACCCTGTGGTAGTGTGTCTAGACACTTGCAAGAACTTAAAGTGTCCTTCGGCCATACCTGGAAATCCGAGCCTACGGTGACTTCCCAGACGTATGTGCCAATAGCGGACAGGAGACACAGAACCAACAGAATAATGAAAATGTATATAATTAACAAGTTCATTGTCTCATCGATGCGCGTGCGCTTGAACCTGAGAAAGTATACAAACACCGCGAGTTAAGGCATCGGTATGGTGCAGCACACTGATTCTGATATCAGACAAGAGATGTGAGCGGACGGTCAGGTGTGGCCCGGTTGATAGTTAAGCATTGATTGTGGGGTTAGCCGATAGTGAGGCAAATACTATTCTGCATTGCAATTGAGCTAGAGAGCCGCCTGTGACGTATGGATACCCCCAGTGCAGGATAAATACTGCTATGAACCGTAGCATCAGTCGGGTATACCGATACTATATGACTTCTCGCACCTATCTCGAAACGAATGGTACAATTGAATAGCCAGTACAATCCCCATCGGATTCTCCATCCAGAGCACAAACTGCGACAACAATGAAAACATTCACCTAGACAGCATCAACATCTCCACCCGATCGTTTGGATGACCTCTTTTGTTTGAAACGTGCATGATCAACATATACATATGTAATAGAAAGATGTAAACACCCTTACCTAGCGCTGTTGGAATTGTATGCTAGCTTCACACCGTCGCTGGCAAGGTACACCAAAACGAAAGATACCAAAACAAATATTATTGTACTTATTTGCAAACTAACCCTTTTCGTACGCATATATATACTCATGTACAAAAGCGTGGAGCATACTTGACAGCAACAATCATACACACAACGCACTACCTACCTAGCCCCGATCGAGTTGCACATCAGCTTTGTATCACCGCCCGCAAAAAACACCACGGCCACGGCCCAGGCTGTGTTGCGCATGGTCATTCCTCTGAGCATGACGTTCTCCTTATCCACGGAGTGTGTCTCATCGCCGATGATAAGTTTTCCATTGAACGAATTGAGATTTGGATTTGGGGGCTCGCACACCAAACACGCTGCAAAGAAAGAAAGCGTTAAAAGCGAGACACCAATTAAAACTCACGTACAGAAGAATCTGAAATGGTATTGCGAACCGTTGAATGAGAATGAGATGAGATCGGGGTTCGGAGGCTCGCAGAGGCAACCTTCGTATTGAAAAGGTCAAGACAAGAGATGTAGATGCGCATATAGAACGTCATTGGTCTGGGTTTGCGGTGCGTTCGGGTGGAATGAAAAGGTTATGATGCACATGCCAAGCTGACTATCGGATATGTCTTGGTCAGAAGCGCGAGCATCTCCCATGTACCAGACGCCTCGAAGCGACGAGTTGAATTGCAAAGAAATGATCAAAATCTAAAACGGCCCACACACCCAATCAGATACTGGAAGAATGATCGTACAGAATGCTCAGATTAAACATAACGACATGAAGCAAATAAGAAATCGAATCCCATTCAGAGCGCCAGTTCTTACCTCTGAGCTCACTGAGCTCTTTTTCGTCCGCAATGTCCTGAGTGGCGTCCATCGCATACAATCGCTTCAAATTCGACTCACTGTGGTAGCATGTATTAGTTCGAGGTTAAAATCACACGCTACCCTTAAAGCTTATGAAGAATGTGTAGATTGCGGCACAGTCAGTACTCTGTAGATGTGTATTGTTCTCGCAAGCTTTGTAGTAGATATCGGACAGTCTCAAACTTAAGATAACACGCATCGAAATATTGAATCCGATACTGAGAATTTCGGGTGGATAGTGTGTTCGGCGGGCCGAGCTGTCACTACATCACCCAGAAACTACTATGTTTGTGCAGAATTAAAACCCATAGTCAAAACGTACAAACGGTTCGTACATTCAACCTGTCGGGCCCTTTGAAGAGTACATCGTTTTCCAACAGGCGAGAGCAAAGCAGAATATACTACGAAGCCAGAACCGACCCATAGTCTGGGTCAGCTTGATTGAGTATACAAGCCATCTGAAATTAAAGATGCATTCCAATTAAACTACAGCGGCAACCATCTCAATGACAAACACACTCACCCATCCAGTTCTGCGGTGTCCGAATAGCACTCGTTGCCCGTCTCAGATGTGAGCAGCAGGAGCACATCGGCCGCTACCGGGTCTTTGTTTTCTATGCGGATGATGTCTCCTACCACGACCTCCTCCCACCTATATGGTAAGTATACATATGTGAACAAGCACATATCATATATAAAATTCACCTACATCTTTGTGTATAAATACAGAAATACGGATACACACAGGGGAAGGATCGATGCGAGCAGTCGCGTGCAAGTGAGTGTGGAAACGGCGGTTCTTCATAAGCGCACGCCACGATTTTCCTGAAAGCAGGCTCCGGTATGATGTGCGGCACGAAGTGATTGAGAGAAGCAGCCAATCGCATAGGAAGTGAATGGCACACAAACCATACACGTTCAGAACGAACGATGACTGGATCAGAGGAACTGGCGAGAAGATGTGTTCCCACTCATGGAGGTGTACCGTGACCTTGTCGGACGTCACGCATACAAACCACGCGGCTATGTAAATCGTGGTCAAAGGATGACATTAGACTGCGTCAATCATTATAAATGTAGATATTGGATATGCACGGTCACTGATAGTAAGCTTACTTGCACAATTGCCAGACGCCTAAGTGCTGGCAGAATCTCTCTACTTCTCTGCCATTGACTTCCCTATCACTCTGATGTCGTTTCTAGGAATAGGAGGAATACGCAAACAAGGCTACAAGGATGAGGCTTTGAAAAACCGCGGTTCGAATGGGAGTTCATATGCTATAGACTAGACTATTCGAATCGAAGGTACGCGCTACAGCCGTACTTACATATTCCGACACGCATATCACGAGTATATGTCCGAATGTGGGAAGAGTACGATGACCGAAGTATCAACTGAAAGCCTCCGTGAGAAACAATGAACTCTGTCGACTAGATTGGACTGGGCCTCCTTTGCTCTATATCTGGCTAATCTGAACCATCGCTTACTTGACAGCAACCATACTTAGAGCATTGGGATACCATATCTATGATAGGAGACGGCGTGGTGTACAGGACAGGAATAAGAACTTACCACATCATCATTAGCATCTTTGATACTGGTCAGTGCGATCACAAAGATCAGGGGTACCAGTGTGGCCATGGGATCCAGAGACGATACACCAGGGATCATCTGTGCGAACGAAGAATACATAGTATTGAGTGTGTATTTCTCGTTTGTAATTATTGAAAATACCAGCACTCCATGCGATGCGCAAACTCTCTTCTGCACCTGTTTGTACCAGTTATAGTGTTTACCGCGTGAAATTTGAGATGAGATTCTGGCACGCCGATTGATAAAACAATTGATGCCGTAATAGAGAACAATACAACCGTGCAGCTAAAGCCGCGTTTCATAGGTTTTGCTAAGGTTTTGCGAACCAATGTACTCGATGTCAGGCTGGCGATTGTGGTGCCATTGGTGACCTAAACGCGGGTTTAGGTTTTTATTTTGTTTTTGGACCAGCGAGTGCGATTGCTCTGTTAGATGAGCAAAAAATACACAGGAAATAACCTCGAACTAAGTAGTTGAAGCAAGAACACATTGCTAAAAAAATACCTACCAATGGTCTTCGCCTGCGATACTTCACGTACAGGGATCGTGTTTAGCGCAAAGGCAACGTTCACATAATATTCATATGAATAGTAATCGAAAACACCGCGATCATACCTGTAGCACCAGCAAGAACAAGAAATACGCGTTGGCTAAGCGCTGAAACTGCTCAAACAAATTGACCGGCAGGAAGGTGAACAGCGTGTACTTCGCCGTAGATACATAATTTCGCTGCAATGAGTGATGAAAAAAAACACCAACAAACAAACAGATATGGTTAAGGCGCCTACGATAAAATCCGCATCGGTGGTGTAGAGTTTAAGATAAACGGGCAAATACGCAATCACAAACTTGCAGTCAGAATAGCGGTCAGCCAAGTTCAACTTAACCGCGAGGGTATCATCAATATGCATGACACGCACAGAAGTTCAACTTAACCGCGAGGGTATCATTAATATGCATGACACGCACAGAAGTTCAACTTAACCGCGAGGGTATCATCAATATGC